TAGAAGAATCAAAAATTCCATATGACAGCACCGACCCGTAATATATGATATATAAAATAATATATATAATAATACACCGATTGAAATTGAAAGCATAGGGACATAGAAGCATTGTTGTGATATTAGTATTGAGCCTGATTTTGGTAAACCTCCCCTCCCCTCCCACCCTCTAAAAGGAGCACATTCATCCAATTACATGCCTAAGGCAAACCTCTACTAAAAGAATAAAAGCACGTTCATATGAACATAAGGAAAAACAATCATTCAATGCAACATTAATATTCATACCAAGTCTTTCTTTTATAACAGCAGCATTTTCGTGCCCACAGCATTTTTGTGAAAACGAAGATATATCATGGAACATTTCATTTGATGGATGAATGCCTGCGTCCTCCATCCATTGCAATACCTGCTAAGGATTTGCGTATTTTTCAGATATGGTTTATTACAACGCGAAATACCCAAAATGAAATTAAAAAGCCAAATATCTACAGTAATGAAAAAAAAACAGAAGTTTTGTATAGTTCTGTAATTTGCAATGGTTCTAAAATCCATGTATAATTTTGTTCATTTAGAATTGTTAGTCAACTTTGCAAAGCAATTTGCTGGATGGAATAAAAAAAATTATAGTTTTTTAAGTGTTCCTAGTTTGAAAGTTATTCCTATTTCTCCCTTTTCGGATTTTAGCAGAAAAAATAACACAGGTAATATTCGAGATAAAAGCTCGAACTTGAAAAAACTAAGATAAGCATCAAATACTTGGGGAACCACACTTAAAAGCTAGTTGACATGCAATTATCTATTGAATTGAGTTATTCCTTATCTTCGGTTTTATTCACTAGACTGTTTTGCTAAGACCTACAATCTTCTATTGTTAGCTATGAATAGTCGTGAATTTTGGGTAATTCCCTTCTAAAATTTTGAGCACACCCAGCATAATTACTTTAATCTATAAAGAAATATTTTGGAATAGAGATCATCCCTCTATTGCGAATCTTGCTGCTACAGGTCACTATGCAAAATGATAGTTATGTTTAAGTAAAACATATAACTGTCAACACAAAATCCTAACGTGGATGGTACTTCCGTTCACGGAAGTACATTTTACAAACTAGTACAATTGCCAGAGTGTAACATCTTCATAAACAAGGAACTAGTGTGGGATTTGAAGCACTTTGGCAAAAAAAGATAGTTTATTTGAATATTAAGATTCTTGAAAAGTTGAGTTCCTTTGTTAATATTGTTGTTGGGTTGGGCTTTGTAGTAATTGTCCTACAGTAGTATTACACCAAGATATTTAGTATAAATAGGAATTTTAGCAACTTTCCCCTAATTTTCCATCAAAACCAGTATATTTCATCTTTCAACTATAATAAGTTAGATGCTAGAACTCTTTAATATTGTTCTAGCTACTATATGAAACTTCTCTGCATCAGATTAATCTTAAAGAGAGAGCAAGATCTTACCTCTAAATACTTCCTCCAATTTCCAGATGATAAAAGGTTCTTCAATAAAATAGAGTAAGTGTTTAAGTTAACATCAATACCTGACGCCAACATTTTGAAGAATAACTGCACACATGAAAATAAAATAAAAAAAAGGTAATGTAAAGATATCAATGTGGTGGGAATCATACTTATTGTTCTTGATGACATTAATATCTCCTACGAGAATAAATGGCTGACCTTCAACATAGTTTCAATCTTTCCACTTTTTCCTAAAGCATGCAGCAACTGATTCAAACATCCGGATGAAATTAGAGGAAGTGAGGGCTCTATGTACTTGATCATGTCAACAGCTGTCCTCCAATCTTGTAATCTTATGGCACAAGAGACACATGTCAGTTGATAGGAACATAACAGTAAAAATCATTAACTAAAGAAAAAATATTATGCTAATCAAACCAATGTAATTTGAGTGAAGGCATCTTTCCTTTTGTTTCTTGCCCACTCTTCTCATTAAATTCTGAGCTTTGGCAAGTAAATATGTACCAAAGCATCAAATTTCATAATATGAAAAAAGAACGTATAAAATGTATCAATTCATCATAAAACCAAGCTATTCAACTTCAAGTTCCACCATAATATAATTAACAAGTACCAAATATTATTGTGGAGAAATATATTTTCTGCTGAACAATAATAACAACTAATGTGTGCAAACAGTGGATAATATGAAAACTACTAATTGTCATTAAAATAAAACCCTTTTCACAGCATCTACACCAATCAAAGCGGCAAATAATAGAATTCTAACTATGAAAAGTAGTAGCCATGAGAATTTAGCGTCAGATCAAGTTCCACGATGTCTTGATCAGGAATATAGTAGCTACATTCAGGCTTAATTAGCTCAATTTAGACCTAACATAGGAGGCACTATACCCATGGTAAAATGGACATTTTAGAAGTTTTCAAGAAAACCCACAAAAGAGTAAAACAGGGAAGACAGGTTTAGTGCAATACTTCTTGTAAAATGAAAAATATATCATAAAATCTGTACTTACATGCTACAGGCAGATACCATTTCAAAAAATATGGTATCAGTGAAAGGAATTTCTTTTTCTCTCATGCTTTGTGCTAGACTAAGAACCCTTCCCGGTTGACCACCTTTATTAAAAGATCTCATTAGGGCTGCACAGGCAATGGTATCTAGCTTGATGTCACTTGCTTCCATTTCATCAAAGAGTGCATAAGCTTTCTCCCAATTCCCTGATCATAGAATATTGTTATTCAGCATACATATATTAATATATTAACAAGACCCTAATATTTAACTCATTAAAAAATTATTTTACCAGCTGCATTGTAAGCATCAAGCATGGAGGTGTATGTAACCACATCAGGGTAACAACCAGATGATTTCATCAAGTCAAATGTAGACTCTGCTTCTTCAATTTGGCCCTAAATACATTATCATGGAAAAATGTGAAGGAAAAGAAACAGAAGTCTCAAATTTAATGGATTCACACCACTGAAATTCATCTTAATTATGTACTTACCTGTTTGCTATAGGCAAATATGACAGAAGAGTAGACCTCTTTGGACAAAGGAATTTTAGATGCATCATTTCTTCCATAAAAGATAGGGCTTCACCATATTTTGACATCTTACAACAACCACTAATCAACACAGTGTAGGTAACAGTATCAGTTTTAATTTTTTTCTTGGTCATAGATTTGTACAAGTCTATAGCTTTGTCATATTCCCCTACATTCATATAGCTTCCTATAGCTGAATTATATGCAATGGTGTTTAACTTAATTCCTCTCATCTTAGCAGCTGTTAGGACTGTGTCAATCTTCACCTCCGACTGCATCGTCCACATGCAGCCAGAGTATGCATATTGAAACAAATTTGGTTGAATTCCATCTTCTTCCATTTCTCGCAAGACTTCAATTGCATCTGTCAGAAAACCACTAGATCCATAGGCATCAATAAGTGAATTGTAACTGACAAGGTTTGGCTTCAACTTGTTTCTCTTCATCATATCAAATATTTCCCTTGCTTTTTGGGGTTTTGTGACCTTCCATAAGCATTAAGGAGAGACGTATATGATACAACATCAGGGCGGAAACCATTTCTTTTTATCTCATTGAAAACCAAAAGTGCCTCATTGTCCATCCCACAAGCAGCATATGCACCTATCAGTGAATTATATGAGACTATATTAGGTTTCAGCCCTTCTGCAAGCATCATATTAAATGCAGCTTCACAATTTTCAACTTGCCCACACACAGAATACAAGTGAATGATACTTGTGAATGTAACAACATCAGGGGTACATTCTGATTTCTTCTCCCTCATGGAACTAAAAATATCTATAGCTTTGTCATATTGTTGAAGCTTTACTAGACAATGGATAACAATATTAAGTGTGGTTGTGTCAGGACGAATATGAGTTCCCTTCATTAGTTCAAAATATGACAGTGCTTTCAAATACTGAGCACCGCTTTTAAATGCAGACAGAATAATATTGTGAGTAACAAGATCGGGCCCAACACCGTTGTCTGTCATTTTCTTGCAAACGCTGAGTGCTTCTTTCCAATTCCCACTAGATCCACAAGCATTTATCAAGTTGTTATAAGTATACCTACTCGGCGGTATCTGCAAAAATATGTCAGTGTGTCAAAAACAGGACTTATAGTTAACATACCATACCACCAATTGAAATGTTTATTCTACAAATTGACAGTTTACGACAGCAAAGGGTTTGAAGAAAATGAAATTAAAACCGGCAAGATCACTTTGATCACAAAAATCTCATCACCAGGACTAATAATTTATTTCTAACATGTACATGATGCATGAAGCAATTCAACAGTAGCCAGAACAAAACCTAAGGGTTCCTACACCAGCATCGGTGGACAGATATTCTGTATAATCTACTGAAACAAATTTAATTAAATGTCCAAGTGACCATTTAAGATGTAAAAGTATTACAGCACTATAAAATATGCTCTCTTGCATCCTCTCCTTCACCAAATATACTTAACTAAATTTAACACCATAATTAAGTTAAAAAGTTGATCACATCAAGTTGAACTCACTAAATATGACTAGGGAAGAAAAATGCATAGTACACACAGCTGCACGCAGCATGTCATCCATGATATTCAAAGCCCAACGCCACTGTCCAGCTCGACCATGTGCGTTGATAAGAGCATTGTAAGTCTCAACATCCGGTTTACACCTACAACCACGACTACGCAGAAACAATTCAATCCCCGCAACAATAAACCCTTGTTTGAATAAGCCTTTTCATAAGAACTTAAAATAATAAGCATAAATAAGAAAAAATGAGAAGGTAAAATGAATATAGCTTCTCCCATAAGCTAAAATCAACTATGTACTTAAGTTGTATAAAAGTTCTCTCAATTAACTCTAAAACATTGAGGTGTGCAGATTGATTTTACCACAGTGCATGCTTGGATTTCAGTTGAGACAGTTCAAAAAGTATATTTACTCCAAAAAATTCGGAAATGTACAACGGAGTTCGCAAAAGTACTTTTTCCTCCTATGAAACTTTTAACAATCCAGAACTTAAATCCATTAATTCACCTCCATTCCTGCATCTCAAAAAACAATCCACGCGCATGGTCCGTTCGGTTGTGACGAGCGTGCAACCTAATCATCATGTTGTATATATCATTACGCGCACAGTAGTTCCTCTGTAACTTCATCCACCTGAACACGCGATTACATTGTTCAATGGATCCTCGCTGCGTCAACTCCTACAAAATCGAAAACGAAAATACCCAATGCTGATTATATTATAAACAAAAACACTCAAACTGGTGCACACGAAAATCGGAAATTGCGGAATACCTTAATGAGGTAGGGGAAATTCTTGCGTGCGAAGCGGCCTATCCAACGGTTGAGTAGGCCATCGATGTCGTCGGAGAGGTCGAGTGAGAGGACGAGGTCGGCGACCTCGGAAACTGTCCAGTCCTTCTGGAAGCGGTTTCCGGCGACGCGGACGCGGTAGCGGGTGGCGATGTTGTCCTTGCGGAGGCCGGAGATTTTGGTGGAGACGTCGTGCAGGCCTCGGTCGTAGTCGACGAAGCCTTCTTTCGTTTCCTTGAATGCAATCTTATCCGATTTCTTCTTGCAGGAAACGGAAGTTCTTCGGTGAGTGGATACGGTGGCGCCGGCGAGTTGGAGACAGTGAGTTGCGGTGGTGGCCATGGACTATGACGTGGAGGGAGTGTAGTTGGAAGAATGGATTGTGGATAAATGTCCTCACAAAAATTAGATATTTCTTTGGCAGCTTCCTCGGCATCTCTACACATTTCCTCAGGTAATATAATTTTAATTAAATTTATGTTCTGAAATTCATAATTTAAAATATAAACTTCGTATTTTGAGTTATGTATTTTAAAATATAAATTTGTATTTTAGAATAGAATAAAAAATTTGTATTATATATTATATATTTTGAATTTTTCAAAACTAATGAAAATCTTATATTAGAGAATAAAATTGAAATTTTTAAATATATGGGATGCATGTTGAAATTATGGAGTGCAGAAGGAAGCTTATCCTTTTGTTGTGACAAACTTGAGTAGTTATAATTGGGCTCGTATGGGTTTGCCATTGGGCTTTATCCGGGTAAATTGAGAGGTAATTTTTTCTTGCAACTCTTTATGTTTCTTCCTGCATTCTCATATGAAAAAAAAATCCTCATTTTATTATTTTTAGATTGTGTAATTAAAAAATTTCTTAAAAAATTATTTTTAAATTATGCAATCTGAAAATATAAAATGATTAACTTCTAATACAATTTAAAATATTTAACTTTTATATTACATAATTTGAAAGCCATTTGACTTTTGAAATGTACAATTTAAAATTTTTTTTTTATTAAAATTATTTTTTTTTTTTTTCTTAATTCGAAATTTATTTTTAATTTCCGTATTATAATATCCAAATTTCGTTTTAACTTTCAATTTACACACTCCAAAAGAAAAAAAAAATCAAAATTTCTTAATATAATGAATGAATCTAAAATTCAATACATATTCTAAACATCTCAACAACATAGTATTTTCTATTTGGAAATAATTATGTCTAAAAGTCATTATATCAAGACTCATCACAAAAGTACATATAATCACATCATTATTTCATTTCCATGTGTATCTATTCATATTAACATTCAACACATAAGAAGAAAAATAAAGAATAGAAAAAAAAAAGCTTGAGCGAAAATTTACTTGAGTTAAAAATTCATGGCTTGAATAAAAAAAATTGCAAATAGAAAAGTCAATTACAATATTATTTTTGTTTAAGTGAAAAATTCCTTTACCTTGACATTAATAAGAAAAAGACAAGAGTCATTTGCAATATTATTTTTGTTCAGCGAAATTTTCTTTATTTTAGCAAAAACAGGATTAAGAGGTACTTGGATTTTTCTCCTATTTTCATTTAAGCAAAAATATCATATATTAATATTATTTAACATATCCAACCAACTTTCAAAGCTCTTATCCCATATATAAAACTTACAAATTTTAAACAATTTAAAAAATTACTAACATTTTAAATTTCTCAAGTATAACTTACATTCTCATTAAACTCATAAATCAACATATGTATATCTAAGACTTTGAAATTTAAATTGAACTCAAACTAACTTGATTACTAACACCCATAATTATTTAAACATCAAATAATTCATAAAATAACTCAACATCATTCAATAACCTGTACAACATCAAAATCAATATTTAAATATCAAACTATCAAAATTTAATATATTTGCATTTTCAAAATATATTATTTTAACGATTTTTATCAAATAATATCTATGTATAAAATATATATCAGTATGATCGAGACACATTTATATAATTAAAATATTCTATGGGAAATCATGAGTTAAGCTCTTAACTCCAATATTCTCCCAAAATAGAGTTACACTTGTAACCTTTCTCTTTTTTCTTATACCCTTGTAACTCGCTTTTATGTCTGCGAAAAAGAAACCTTCCTTAAAATAATTAATCCATTAAAAAGATTTTAAAAAAAAAATTATTTATTTTATTCTATTTTTCTATATAGCCACATGATGACCAATGATATTGACATCACAACTTTTAACTGTTTTTAACTACATCCTTATATCCTTAACAAATAATATTAAAGAGTTAACATGATGAAAAAAAAATATAATGAAAAATATTACCGTCTTTATTTCATCAATCACCTATTAAAAGATAAATACAATGAAAAAAATATAACAGAAATTCTAAATCCGAAAAGAAATCATAGTTGTTATCTAAAATACAACATAAATTTCTCAAATATTTCTGATAATGTCAGCAAATAACTCTAAAAAAAATACAAAACAAATGAAAGACATATATATATACTTTGAGCACATATAATATCCTTACAGATGGAAAACCTAGAATGGTAATGATTAAAGAATGATGAAAATCCACTAACACTTATCCTATGCTATGTATGTCTTTCTTCATGTTTGCTTATTCTCCATCACACATGGCTGCCGAAAACTTTCTCCCAACTAAGAACAAGAGAAAGAATAAGATGGCATTGATTAATAGATGCCGAAAACTTTCTCCCAATCAAGGACCCACGAACAAAACAATGATAAAATCGAATAAAGGGGATAGACCCAAACCATTTTTATTGGCTATACACTAGTGTAGAATTGACCTTTAACGTCATCCAATAGACGTCCCTCCACAAAAACACCAACGTAAATAATTGACCGATGACATATCTGTAAATAAGTGGGACTATAAACGTCCGTTGTGGGAGGTCGGACGTCTATAATATTATAGACGTCCGGCCCCCCTAGAACGGACGTTTAAGAGGCTGAAGCAATTAACTCTTCAACTTCCCTGTCAGCCTCTTAAACGTCCGTTCTGGGTTGCCTCTGACACAACCGACGTCTATATAGACGTCCGACCTGACACAATGGACGTCTGACTAACGTTACCCACAAAGACGTCGGGTACAGGTCGGATGTCAAAAAGTCAAAAAAACAAACGTCTAAAGTCCTTTATGCACTGGTGATAGGAGTTACCTTTGACCAAATAATGTACCAAAGAAACTTAAAATTTTCATTCTGATAAGGGAAAAAATTGGACAAATCGGCGCAATCTTTCTAGCCCTCAAACGTGCTGAAAATATGAGTAATGGTGTGTGATTTTCCACCATACGGTGCTTATTTGGTCGGTTTCAAACCCACATGAATACTCAATTTTGATTTGGTGGCTTCATGAACAACACATACACACACAAGTGCTTTGCACTTTGCAAAATCTTTCTGTGGAAATAGTTTGATGAAGCTGTCATTGGATGCACATGGACACAATTGTACAAATTTTATTTACTCCAATAATTCCGAGCTTTTTTATTTTTATTATTATTTTCTTTTATGTTTCACTTTACAATTTACATCTCTCTCTAATCCCAAATGATTGATTTTCTAATTCTCATATGAATCGCTCAAGAGTTATTCTAAGACCTGATTTACTTAACATTATTATAGTTAATTATTGAAAAAGAACGACTTTTCCTTCTTCTTTTTTTATAAATTCAAGAGAGAAAAGAATATGGTTTTATTTAACTTCAACAATTTTCTCCTTTATATTCCACAAAATTATTAGAAAAACATGTTTTGAATTTCAATACTTATTTATCGAACTTGATTTCAGTTTATCAACTTTTAAATTGATAACTCGCTTCTTAAACTTTAAAAATATAAAAAATTGTTTTTATGTTTAAATTAATGATATTACTTTTTATTGCAATAATATGATCCAGGTCACTAAATTCACATTTTTTTAAATTTAGAATTTTTTTCATTAATATAGAAACTGGAATTAAATTTGACTATCAATACACAAACTACAAATGCATTTTCTTAAATTATAAATATATGATTACTTTTTCCACTTTAATTTTTTAATCATTTTTATTATATTATTATAGCATATGGCTTTATTTTATATTTTTTTCCCTTTTTCTTCTCTCCCCTTTTCACCTGAAAATACCCATTTTAGATGAGTCATAGTTAAAAAGTTGACTTGTTTTTCGTACTTTCTTGTCTCTCTCACCCAATTAGTTTCCATATTAAAGAGTTACAGCGATCCAGACCAACCATTACTAAACAAAAGGAGAAGAAAATACCAAAATAAATTGAAGTAAACATAAAAGAAAGTAGTTTTCAAGTTAAGCATAGTTAAATATTATAAATCTTCTTTCGATAACTTTTTCCTAACTGTAGTCGCATGAGCGGATTTACCAAGTTTACTGATTTGGTACTATGGATATTGAGTTTCATTTGTATTTCAATACAATAATTTTCAGAGACAGTATGTGGATAGATTTCATGGTAGTATGTGGATAGATTTCATGTTAGTATAATGTAAGAAGCTTAGTCTTCAGGGTTATTCTGATATTTTAATAATTATTTCATCTCAGATAGAGAAGGAGATTATGTGGTGAGGAGTAGCAAGATATTTTAGTTTATGGAATGATTTTATTTGTCGAGAGGTGGTTGACGAACTTAGCTTGAGGAGAGGAGGCCACTGTTCTTCCACCATAAGTGCATGACCCGTCATAACTCGACATCAATACATTTATTCAGATTTGTCAAGTCTAGAATATGTATATATATGCTTAGGTTCTTGTTTAATTTTAAAGTGAAATGTGTTATATGCTGAATTATAATTGCATGATTTGATCCGATATTAGCTTACCTTTGTTTTTTTTTTTTTGTTTTTTAAAGACCTTATTTTTTTTTTTGGTTAAAGATAAAATTCTTTTAGGATGTTACACTAATTTGTACATTTGTCCTACAAAATTTTAAAATAATTGAAATTAATATATCAAAATTGCAATCGCTAATGTATTCTATTTTTACTCATAATATAATAATATAAATAATTAAGGTTTGAAGGCTTGCAAGTGGAAGGAATTGAATGAAATGACATGTAAAAAGAAATAATTAACTAGTAACATAAATACTTGACAACATGTTAATATAAATATTGTTTATATTCATTGGACTTAAGATATTTAGATAAATACTTCTATGAAATATATAAGGTAAATCTAGTTTTCATACCAATTAGGTACACTTACATACATATGTTATATACATTGACTATATATTATGTTTTCTGTGTGATGTTTTACAGTGGTAGTATATATCACAAAGAAATTATATTAAGGTATTGTTTACTAATTTAGTTTTAAAATAAAATTTAAAATATAAGAAATCTCTCAA